AAAGGCATTCCTAAGGCTCACCTGGGAAGATTACCAATGAAGGTGACTAGTGGTCTCACTAACAAATGCATTGCCAGTGCCCTACTTCAGATTGTGTTGAATGGCTGCATTATTTTGGATAGCAGTAGCCTTCCCTCATCCACAGGGGATATGTTACAAGACCCTGACAGATTACTTGAAGCCACAGGTAGGGAGACTCTATATATACTGTTCATTCCTATAAATACATATCTATGATAACATTTAATTTATAAATTACACATAGTATGAGATAAGTTCTCCGAATGTTTTTTCTCTTTCAAAATACCTTAATTTCTCATTGCAGTATAGTAAAATTTTAAGAATGCACTTGACCACAGGTAACTGAAATAATGGAAAAATGAAGCCATGGATAAGGAGAACCACTATACTTTCTGAATAGGCAATATGCACCATCACCAACGTGACTCTAAGGGACAATCTCACCACAAATACAGCTTTCATCAGCAACTGTTGAAGCCAGCCACAGGACTCCAAACTACACCCAATCTAGGCTTTGGGATATTTTTCTTGTGACTTGGCTTGCTTCCATTAGAGACATCAGGAAGCTCTACAGAGTGTCATGATTGTTAGGACTTAGCATTAGAATGTTCTTTCAACATCTCATGCGTTCAGAGGCAGGGTGGGGGGTTGAAGGTGATGGGATGATGGGTGTGCTGTACTCATCAGTGGATTAATCCATTGATGAGTTCATGATTATCTTAGGTATTTTTCTTTTGCCAGGACAAAATACCCAACACCCAAATGTTGAAGAAGGGAAGTTTTATTTTAGTTCATCATTTGTAGAGGGTTTAGTCCATAGTCAGCTGGCTCCAAGGCAGAGCAGCATAACAGAAGGGCATCATGGAAGAGAAACAGTTCATGGCATGTCAGGCAGAAGACAGTGAGCAGCAAGCATCAAGAAGCCAGCCTGCCTTTCCCTTTTATTACATGCGGCTTGACCATGGTCTGATTCCCCTGAAACAGTGAACCAAATAAACCTGTGCTCCCTTAAAATGTGGGTGTCAGGGCCCAGAGATGTAGCTCAGCGGCACTGCGCCTGCCTGGCAAGCACCAATTCGTGAGTTCGATTCCTGGTACCACCCGAAATTAAAAAAAAAAAAAAAAAAAAAAAGAATAAATAAAAGAATAATGGAGCTCTTAAGAAAGGGCACACATCCTTCCTGGGGCTGCAGATATAGCTCAGTGGTACACGCAGCTGCCTGGCAAGCACAAGGTTGTGAGTTCAATTCCCGGTACCAATAAATAAATAAAATGTGGGTGTCAGGGGCAGGGATACAGCTCAGCGGCACAAGCGCCTGCCTGGCAAGTGCAAGGTCGTGAGTTTGATTCCCAGTAACAATAACAACAACAAAAAAGACAAAAAAAGAAGCAGCCAGAGTGTTCGCGGAATTTGGCGTTTCTAGACGTTGAGCAGTGGTGTGCCGAGGATGCATCATGGAAGCCGAAGCCGCACTTCTCGCGTGCCATCTCCGGCCAGCCGGGCCCCTCAGAAGCGAGTTGCGCCCCGGGCAGCGCTCTGACCAGCCTCAGCTGTCCGGGCCCCGGTGGTGGCCCCACCATCCCACGGGGGCTCACCTCCTGCTGCGCCCTGACATTCTGGTCTGAAGGCCCAGATGGCCACCACTGCGGCAGGCGTGGCCGTGGGGTCCAATGTGGGCCCTGCCGAGGGGCACACGCTGGGCTATGCCATCACGGGCGGCTTTGTGGGGGAAGGCAGCGGCCAGCCCGCCAAACCCGACAACACTTACCAGGAGCCTCAGGGAGCTCAGGGCAGCAGCAGGAGGCCGGAGGGCCCTGCTACTTTGAGATCAAGCAGTTTCTGGAGTGTGCACAGAATCAGCCTGACAGGAAGCTCTGCGAAGGTTTCAACGAAGTGCTGAGGCAGCGCAGGATGGCGAACGGCCTGGCCTCCTCTAACCAGGAAGTTCACAAGGGAGAACTGGGACATCGACCCACGTCGACCCGACCAAGTTACTTTAGTGCGGAAGTGTTATTCATACTAGAAGTGTAAAACCATTCAGTTTGACATCTCCCTGTAGCTTCAGCGCTTCAGAACAGCCATGGAAGAGGGTGTTCCCACCACACATATGGGCTAGATTGGGGACACGTGTGGCCTCCTTAAGCCAGCTGTTGTGATGTTATTAGTTAATTAGAATAAAGTGAATTTTGTCCAAAATAAAAATGTGGGTGTCAGCGATTTTGTCCCACAATGAGAAACCTAATACACTTATGTTACATTAGCTATTTTTTTAGAAGAAAGGTGGAACTTATATACCTACAGTAATTTGTTGTAGGAATAAATAGTAATATTATAATTTTTATTTTAAAGATTTTCAAATTCAATAAAAGAGTTCATGTGTGAAATATTAATTTATGTAGAAGGCATTGTTTACACCTACTAAACAAATACCCTACCCACTTTACCTTTCTATAGTCTAAGCTGGTGTTATAATTCAATCATCCGGCTGCCTTTTTGAGACCCACTTTTTCTCTTTGTGAACTTTCATGTATACATTTGAAATTGAAACTGTTAACAAGCCAGACATGGTGGCGCATGCCTGTAATCCCAGTACTTGGGAGGCTGAGGCAGGAGGATTGTTGCAAGTTCGAGATCAGCCTGGGCTACAAAGTGAGCTCAAGGCCAGCCTGAACTGCTTAGCGAGACCCTGTCTCAAAAAAAACCAAAAATAAAATAAAATAAAATAAAATAAAACTGTTGACAGTATGTACTGCAAGCATGTATTAATAAAAGAAAAACCTGTCCTTTTCTCTTGTTACTCTCTGTTAGTTTGATTCTCAGGGCTCAGCCATTGAATCTAGGAGGATAGGGAGAAAAATATTTCTTTTCCCTATAATATATTCTGTAAACCAAAAAGTCATAAAGGAGGTTAACATGAAAGACAGTTTTATTCAGGTGCAGAATAGATTTACAAGTCAGGTAATATTTTCAGCTGAGGGAAAGTGGCTTGGGCTTTACAGGGTTCAGCAGTTAGAAACTGATGCAAATATGGGTGGTGGTATTATTTATATCTACATGTCCTGTCAAAGCCTCATACACTCATAGGTGGAGTTTTGGGGGGTGATTGGATCATGGGAGTGTGATACTCATGAGTGGACTAGTCCAGTGATGAGTTTATAGCTAAATGTGATTTGGAAGATGAAGGCTGCTTGGTGGAGATGAGTCACTGGGGGCGTGGCCTGAAAGGGTTTAACTCCCTCTCTCTTCCCTTGATCTATCTCTGTGTCTCCCTTGGTCATGCCATTAACTTTTGTTCCTCTACGATGCACCTCTGCCATGCTGCTCTGCCTTGGAGCCAGCAGACTATGGATTGAAACCTCTACAAACTGTGAGCCAAAATAAACCTCTCCTCCTTTAATTGTGGGTGTTCGGTGATAAGAGTAACTAAGATAGGGTCTGGCTAATTTGCTAAATTGCTCAGGCTGGGTTTTTACATGGGAAATTGTGATCCTCTTGTCTCAGCCTTCCAGACTGCTGGAATTACAAGTATGTGCTATGACTCACTCCTGATAATAGCATTTGGGATTCACAAACAAGGTAGCTGCTGGAAGCGGCTCACCAAGGGTCTGTTCAGGTTCTCAGGGAAGCTTTCTGTGCTTTGTTCCTAACCCAGTGGTCTTGCATCTTTTTTCCAGCATCAGTGAAACTGCAGCTGGCTACCTTGAAACTTGAAAGTGGAGTAAAGTATCAGACACTTCATAGTTCCTCACAGCTGCAGGCAGTATTTTCAAAAACTGTTAATTGTTTTGCAGGACAATGGCCCTCTGGTCGATTTAGTTTTGGGGAGGCTCAGGCAAAACTAAAAAAAGAACAAAGCAAAGATAAAACGAAAGAAAATAGTTTTTTTTTTCCTGTTAGATACCATAATAAACGAAAGAGCATGATGAACTGCTCCTGAGCTTTGGGGGAAAGTGGATAGAGTGCACTAACCTTCAGTTAGTATTTGAATAGAAATCCTTGTCCCTCCTACTTTCTAGAGAATGTTTACTAACAGAATAAAATTGGTAAAAAGTGAGCATGACATAGTAAGAAAGAGGATGGGAGTGCATTTCAAGGGTCTAGTCTTCATAGCCCTTGTAAACCTGAGTGTTGTCATTTTGCAGGTGTACCCAAAGCAAGGGGTTTAAAGGGATTTTGCCGAAGGGTCTGATTCTAGAGCCAGAAAGAGGCTCAGAAAGATTGTCCAATTTCTGTCATTTTACGCAGGACTAACTCAAGCCTATTGAGAGGAAGGTACTTAGGCCACACATTTCATGGGTGGCAAGTATGACAAAATCTAAGTTGTCTGAATCATTCTATAGGGTTTCTCATACATATTTGCTCTCATGTCATCCTACCGTTTATCTGCAACTCAATTTTAAGATCTCTGAAGGAAAATACCATCTTGTACCACTTAGAAGCTCCAACTACAGTGAATCAAATTCACTATCGTTGCTTTTCCCATCTAGCACTGCCAGAGGACACAGCTTTCTTCCATTATGGAAATACTCCACACTGGTGCTGACCAGAGATCATAGGCAAAAGCCACATGGCTATTGAGTATGTGATAATGTAGCTGTTGTGACTGAGGAACTATTTTCTTTCTTTTTTCTGGAACCAAGAATTGAACTCAGGACCTCACTCTTTCCCGGCAGGTGCTGCACCTGTGAGTTCCTGGCCCGAGGAACTATTTTCTTAATTGTATTTAATTTTAAGCTAGTAAAATTCATACATAAACAGCCACATTTGGCTAGCGGCCACTACAGTGAGCACTATAGTGACTACAGTCACTGAAGTGAGCACTGTAGGAACGCTGCGGCTCTAGCTCGCCTCGGAGGAACTAATGTTGGGAAGGAGGAGTGCAGCGGCCACCGAAGCGCGCTTTACGTCAGAAGAGGTTGCTTGGAACGCGCTGACCGCAGGTCTCGCGAGAGCTTCTTCGCGGAGGGTTCTGGGCGGTGGGAGGTCAGGTAGTGAGGCGTGAGTGAGGCGTGAGTGAGGCGGCAACTGGGCAAGCGCGCAACCCAGAGCCATGCCTTCCGATAAAGGAAAGGGCCGCCTACGTAAGCTAAGACGACGAGGAGTGAGGCGAGGAACCGAAAAGCAGGAAGATTCTGAAGCAAATGACCCTGTGGAGAGTCAGCCTCCCAAGGAGCAGCCAAAAAACATGAGTCCCGTCGTAGAGTCCAACATAGCGGCCCTGCGCCACCCTGAGAAGAGGCCTCCCACCCGGCGGCAGCGGGCGGCCCGGCGCCAATCTGAGCTCAGGACGTGGGCCTTCAGGGTCTTCTTGGTGTTAATACTGTTCATTTGGGGGCTGTTGCTGCTGAGCTGCTTTAAGTTTGGTGAGTGTTGGCGCTGGGGGGCCAGGGTGTCGGTTTGGGGATGAGGTGGGTGTGGGGCACAAGGGACCAGCTGAGAGGCCTGTATTTATTTTGTTCCAGACAGGGCCTCTCCGTGTGGTTTAGACTAGCCGTGAAGTACTGCAGGCCCGGGCTGGCCTGGGAGGGAGTGCGCGCGGTCTCAAGGCCTTTTGGCACCTCTCCCCTCGGGCCGACGACCTGCCATCAGGCCCCGCCACCCTCCGTCGGGCCCCGCCACCCTCCGTCGGGCCCCGCCCCCCTCCACCGG